ACAGATGGCTATACGAAATTCGACCCAAAATCCACAAAAAGCCATACTCCTACTCAAATGAAAGGAAAGTTGAAGTAGACATCTCACGCCTCAGAATCACTATGACAAGGTAAACCCATCTTGCAATCAACCTGAATCCATTGCTCACTTGTTACTGGAATGTCAAGACCATGCTCCAGCCTGAGATCAGTTAAAACAAGAAATGCAGTTGGATCAGCCATCTGTCGTAGGTCTCCTTAAGCCAAGAGATGCAATAGCGAAGGCGACACTAGCTCTATTTCTGAAAGAGTGAGTGAGTGAGTGAGTTGGGTTTAACGCCGCTTTTAACAGTATTCCAGTTATATCGCAGCGTGTCAGCTTAATGTGGGAGGAAAATGAGTGAGTGAGTGAGTTGGGTTTAACGCCGCTTTTAACAGTATTCCAGTTATATCGCGGCGTGTCAGCTTAATGTGTGAGGAAAGCCCGAAATGATGCAGGTCTCAGACGTTTACCACTTCGGTGAAACCCACGAGCACGGGTATGGTGCTGACAAACCTAGAAACATAATTTGGGCGAACCGGGATTCGAACCCACAATCATAGGTTTCTGGCGTGCCCAAGGGACGCAACTCTGCGCAGCGAATCGCGGCGCCTTAGACGACTGGGGCACCCGTGACCCCTATTTCTGAAAGAAGGTCAGCTAATCGAACGTTTATAAACAGCAGCCACAGACATTCTATCAATTTCTAAAATTCAAATCTTATTAATACAAAAACAGAAAGGTTATCAATGCTGAAAACAACCAAAGATATGTCACCCTACTCACACACGAGTCCCAAGGAGGAACAGGTCAGCCGAAATTGCTAAGGAAGAAGGCGACCTCTTAAACCCTGAAAGCAACAACAGGAACAGGGTGACGTGCTTTATAGTCCAGAGATAAGCCGGCGTATTGTACCTGTGGTATATTGTCATGTGACCTTGACCTCCCATGATCTTTCATCTGCTTTCAGTATTCATAATATACTGAACCGCAAAAGAAATGTCACCCCAAGTAACATTGCATGAAAAGATATCATTTAAATATCTGGGTAATCTTTGTCAAAGTTTCTAAAATTTAACATTACCTTGTCCGGAAAAATGAAATTTGATGATAAAAATACTAAGCAGATGACAATCAAACCGATCGCCCAAACGCACCACGGCAACGGCCATGGTAACCCGTTGCACATGCCTTCCCCTATAAAAATCCACGCAGATCGGATAACAATCATTCGCTATTGAACTGCTACCACATGCAAAGATTGACAAGAAATCAGCGACACCAAGCCCTTGGACGATTGCAAGATCGACAAACCGCCCGGCAAGAAGCCAATGCATTTCAAGTCCACGCAAGGGCCATATAAAGGCTCCAGCAACGGTACCAGACCACCAACACTACAGATGACCGACCACGTAGTGGAAGGACAAGGGTCACCACCCGACGTCAGGATCGTCAGATTGTGCGACAGCATCTTCAAGATCGCTTTGTTACTGCTGCGGAAACTGCTCGGCAGACCATGGGGACACACCAGCGACAATAAGTGTGGACACCGTGCGTCGATGATTGACGAGCAGACACCTCCACTGTCACAGGCCACAACGAGGACCCATTCTGACACCACGTCATCGCCTGGACCGTCTTCAGTTGGCAACACAGCACCAGCATTGGCGCCATCAGCAGTGGAGAAGAGTCCTCTTCTCAGAGTCTGGTGACGCCGTGGGGAACGTTATTCGGATGCTTGTGTTGTTGAGAGAGACTCGTGGGATGGTCCGAGCATCATGGTGTGGGGTGGAATTGGTCTTGCACAGATGGTCGGCCCTGTGGTCTTCCAGAACATCGGTCCAGGGAGAGGCATTGGTGTCACAGCAGCTCGGTACATTGATCAAGTCTTGAGACCACACGCCATACCTCATTTGGCACGTCGCCGCAACCTCGAGTTTCAGCATGATAACGCCCGTGCCCATACTGCGAGGGCAACAAGATACTTCCTCCAGCAGAATGGCTTCAGAACCATGCAGTGGCCTGCCCTCAGTCCCGATTTATATCCCAATGACGTCCGACGTCCGACCAAGGCCGACAACTGCAGTTGAACTGCGTCAGGCGTTCCGCAGAGTGTGGGCTCAAGCGGCTGTGGCCTTCATCAACCGCCTCATCCATTCCATGTATCGGTGTTGCACGGCAGTCATCAAAGAACATGGCGGACACAGGAGATACTGATTTGTGATGCCATTTTCTCAGAGACTAGTGTTGTGTTTCACTTTAAGAACATTTGACACTTTAATTTCAACCTTGATGATCAGTTTTGCCAAGTTTCATCTTTTTAATATGTTTCAAAGTATATTTACAGTGTTAGGACAAATAAGGTTTCTCATATATCTATCCATGGTGCTTCTCTTTTGCTGTTCAGAATATAATAGCATTATACATTAGGTTATTGCATGACTTTGAGTGTGAATTTGACCTTCAATAACAGTTATATGTATTCCCAAGGACTATATACAGTATACAAACTATGTATGACTGCCCTTGGTGTCGTTAACGGCGGCCGAATTGGGCAACCTGTTTGCCTTGGGCTGGGTCCCTGTGATGGTGGGGGACGGGAGTATGGTAGTTGAGGGCACTGGTTCCAGGAATAGCGTTCCTCTACCCAATACACCACTTCGACCCTTACTTCACCTAGAAGGATGCGCACTATCAATCGGCTCATTCCAAGCCATGTGCATAATATTGTGTGCACACATGTGATTTATTTTTATGTATATTTGGTCGTGGCCATGCATAACATGTCTGAATTCACAAATTATTGATGGAATATTTTGCCTTTAGGCAACCCAGATCGACCCATGGCAACTGCACCTGCCATCGAGCTTGACCTGTCTGCCAGTCAACCATCAGCTACACCTTCAACCTTCAACCGCCTCACCTTGCACATTGCATTTACTTTGTGCTCTTTGTACATTCAACTTTCATCTGCGATTCGACAGTCTGATCTTCAGGATCTATATGATCAGCTCCCTAAGCCCTGCATCATTATGGGCGATTTATATAAATGGACATAACCCTCTATGGGGAGGTGCAAGTACACACAATAAGGGGAAGGTTTTTGAAGATTATATTTCTGATAATAATTTACATCCTGCCAATGGAACTTATTTTGCCCTTGATCTTTCCCTCGCAGATTCCAATGTTTACAATGAATTTGAATAGACTGTACATGATGACCTCTGTGAAAGTGATCACTTCCCTACTGTCATAAAAGGAGTAAAACCGGTGGAATTTTACCAAAGCCAACTGGTCCTTGTATGAAATGTTATGTGCCGAAACATTCTCACCTTACAATTTCAGATATCAGCTGTTTTCAGCTCAATTATTACCGCCCTATATCTTTAACAAAGACATGCAAAGCCAGAGTTTGGTTGTGGGAAGTAACACACATCAATCTCATTAAAATCAGATCTTAGTTCTCGCTATCGCTGAACAAAGATCTGAGGACATCAAATTACGGGTCACGTCAGATCCGACCAATCAAAGCGTCGCTTAACAGATCATGAAAGTGACAGTCGGAATGTGTTTCTGATCATACAACCTCGAAAATATTAACACGGGGTATTCCGAACGACAATAACGGCCCGCGCGACCGATTCCCTCAAAATTATCGTCTATCTCTCGGTTCCGTTCTATAAACATTTGAGTGAGTGAGTGAGGTAATGCTTTACGTCACATCGGCAATATAAACATTTGAACAGAGGAGGCGTTGCACAGTACATGGGAAGCACTGCCATACAATCTCAACCATATATTAGACAGTTTTCAAAATTTTAATCGAGAACTGTGTCAACATATTTTTCAAGCGTTGTCTTAAATGGAAGTCACCAGGTTGAAACGAGTGCCGTAAAGCTCGAGAAAGCTGCTTGCTAATATTGGCTGATGTCGACTTCTAGTTAGCCATTTCAGTGGTCTGTCAAAGTTAGCGAAAGGTCGTTCTGACGTAACCCGTCATGGTATGTCCTCGTGTTTAGCGGCAGCGAGAACTTAGATCTGATTTTAATGAGATTGTAACACACATTTACTGCACATCTGAGCGCTTGATGAGTGCTGACATGTTGCAAACAGGTCAACAGTGGACACGGACAATGACAAAGGTCAAGGTGATGAAAACTCATGTACCCTCCTTTAACATCAAGTACTGACTGGCACCCCCTGTCCATGGACGAAATGACACACGTTGGGGAATTTTACCCAACCCTGCCAGTAGTGCAAACTGTTGCGTTACAAAGGCAATTTCGCATTGTCAGATTGCCTTCGCAATACCTTCGTGTACCGCCAACTGGGAGTCGACACATATTTTGCACATCTTTTCATGTTTTTAATCAAGGTACGTCGGTGATTTGATGCACTTTGACAGGGTACGTAAGACCCGTTTTATTACAATATAGATCTTGATTAACAATCAGATCATCTTAACTTGTCGCTGCCAATTTGTTTGAAGCACATGCAAGTGATATGAGAGCTGGAATCTGATTGGTCAATAGGACGGACCTAGACGGGACATAACTCACTGGTAATAGCCACTTGGTGGCGCTACGATAGAGCCTGGAAGTTCCAGCCTAGTTCGGCTGAGGAGGAAAGTTGACTTTATAGTCAGTTCACGACCTTGCCTCGGGAAGATAGTGAGGCAAAGAAAGTTAACAGTCACAATACCATCTCACCCTACCAGTTACCCATTCACTGCTGTGTGAACAGAGGCATTTTGAATGGAGCAACTTGTCACAGGTGTTTCAGTGTGGTGCAGGACCAAAGCCCTAGAAACTCTCAGAAGTCGATCATCCTGCCGAACATGGTTACCAACACCTTTCCTCCATCAACAGTTTTCACTTCACCATATGTGTGTACTGTGCACTGCGCACAGGACTATGTGCCACCACAATTACATTATTAACATACAATGAAAACTGCTGTCAAACAAATGAAAAAACAATTTCTTATTCACAAGTTTATGTTTTATTTTACAAATTATCATTCGTCAATATTTTACCATACAATTTAAGTGCAATTTACATGAAATATGTATACATTTTCAAACAAGTCCTGCTTAAATATACACAACTAACTCAAAGGTCATCCAAGACGTTCTTTTCCAACATAAACAATACTTGGTATGTACTTGGTATGTATAGTTGTTAGGAGAAAGCATCACAACAAAGGAGAACTGTACACAACATGGCAGCTGTTTCCATGGTAACTGTACACATACCAACAAAGGCCATACATGCGCTGAAATATACATGCATAAAACATCATACAGCCGAGTCAAGTATTGACAAGCAGGCAGAATAGTCAGGATAATATCAATGGGGAGGTACCTCTTACGATTCATCTGAAAGTCAAATCAATATGACAATGGTATGCAAACATGAAACTTACTGAGTAAATGAAGTGAAAAATCTGAAAAATCTGTCCATGACAGTAATTGTAATGGTTATTTCAAATTTATTTGGTCCAAAATGATACACAGAGATAAATCTTGAATTGTAAGAAATAGCTTAATCGTCTTAAAGCTAGTATTTACCAAAATAAAGGAGCTTAGGCTCATTCTCCTATTGTGGTGTTTACAAGTGCTAGGCATATCTGGCAGTCAAGCAACAACTACTGTGCAAATGTCGGCCAAGTTCTTAACACCACAAACCTAGGCATAGAAAATAACGTCAGCCAATACCGTAAACCATTGCTCTTCGTGTGTGTGTGTGTGTGCCCGCGCTCCTGTGTGCCTGTGTGAATATATATATATAGGGAGGGAGGGAGGGAGGGAGGAGGGAGAAGGGGAGTACCCTGTAACATATGCTGAGCTGTCCAGTACAGGACATCCTCTCATCCCCAAAAATAGGCCATGATGTCTCTTCTGAGGTTGACAATTCAAGCTATCCTACCGCTATCTGGTATGTTAGGCCGTAATAAATTAATTATTTGATATTCATCCATATATTTTTTTATATATTTCAATATTGCATAAAAACATAATTCATTATTCTATATGTTTTCAGTTTCTTTCGTTTCATACAACCTGTTTCAGGCAAATGTGTGTACAGTGACTGTCCGCTGATTCCCTGCAAGCATGAATAATTGGTAAAACTATGTATACTGCCTGTTTAAAATGTCCCCCTGCCCTACAGTCCAAGACAGTCAATTTTGCTGATGGACGGTTAGTTTTGGAAAGTTGCACGCCCGTTGGTTGAGGGTTAAAGTTACTAAGTTGACAATCCACCAGTTTATTGATATTTTCTGAGAACTAACAGTAAACAGTACTATTCTTATGTTTACTCTCTTGTTACTTTTGTTCGTTATCCCAGAATATTATGGACTGCAAACATTTTATCTGGTCAGGTATTTGCAATGTTGCCAGTCCCCTCGTCTGACTGGGGAATTTTACACACTGATACAGGACACAGAAAGTTAGGGATCATGAGTGAGTGAGTTGGGTTTAACGCCGCTTTTAACAATATTCCAGTTATATTGTGGCGTGTCAGCTTAATGAGGGAGGAAAGCTCGAAGTGATGAAGGTCTCAGACGTTTACCACTTCGGTGAAACCCACGAGCATGGGTATGGTGCTGACAAACCTAGAATTGTAATCGGGGTGAACCGGGATTCGAACCCACAATCATAGGTTTCTGGCGTGCCCAAGGGACGCAACTCTGCACAGCGAATCGCGGCGCCTTAGACGACTGGGCCACCCGTGCCCCCTTTAGGGATCATGAATTCTTTTGGGGACATTTTTTTGTGGTGAAGACTGAGCACACTATTTCACAAAAATATCCCGGCAAATATTAATGCCCCCCCCCACCGTACTTTCTTCAGTACGTGTTGTGTATTTCATCATGTAAAGAGACACCCAGTAATTTTCTTCAACAGTCGGTACTTGAGGATAAAACTGTCATGTGAGGCAGAGTGGTGATGAAAATTCCTTGTTAAGTTGTAATGGCCATGACGACAGCTCTGGATCAGCAACAATTACAAGGGTAGAAGCTTCTTACTACGTGAGATCAAGTCCACAGCAAGAACTTTCATAAATAATTTCACATGCACAAAACTACTGATATTAGTGTATAACTAATGCTATATCTACAAGAGAAGTTGCAATACTCATTTCTTTATAGTTCAAATACTAACTTCAACTACAAAATTAAACAGAATAACATAACAAAATACTCATAGTAATACATTGTCAACTAATTTCTGCCATACAAGATCATTACTTGAGCAAGTACAGCATGTATTCAAGTCTGGCCTAGCTATCTCTAAATAACAGGAATTGAATGGTCACGGTCACAGAAAGTTGAGTTGCACATGCTAATGGTAGGGCAAGACATGCTTACCCTTTTCACGAACACCTGGTGTTCCAATATGATCCAATCATATAATGTTTTGCAGTGTCTGAAATATTCGCCTGCCCACGGCTGGTGACTTTTCTGCCAGGCTGCATGAAATTTCCCTTCACCTGCCCGACTAGCTGGCAGGTTATTTTATGCAAACTAACGTACTCAGTTTGATCATAACTCCTTTTAGATTCTCAAGTAATTGTTTGCATTATTTCAACTGAATCAAGAGGTGATTTGTTTCATACTGTTGTCTGCAATCAATATTTACGGTGAATGAAAGGAAGTAACTACGCTTTCATTGGTCAATCTAGTCTTAATTTTAGTGTATTGGGACTGATATGAAGACACATAATCAGTAATTCTTTGTAGTGCTCGAAAACACAGTACGCAAGGATACATTTAAATTTAATATTGTATAAATTCAGGCAGGTAATGCAGATGGGCAGGCAACATTTATGGGTCACCTGCCTGAAATGTCTTGTGGGGTTATAAAATTATTTCAAACACTCCTTTTATGCCCAATTGGATCTAATCAAGACTGATATACCCTGGCTTTGACATTTTATTCACAGAATGGTAACAAAATGTTCAGACGCTAATCAAAGGGAGACAATCAGAAGTCTGCTATCTGCCTGATCGCAATATCAAGGAATATAATGGTTAGTCAAAATATAATTTCTTTGTTTTAGATAATGGAGCAATTCTATTCAGCAAATTTTCAATATTATTTCGAACTATTACTTATTCGGTTAATAAATCTTAGTCCAAAGAATTATCCCCTCTAAAGAACCAAAAGAGTAAAATATATTGCAACAAAATCAAAATCAAACAATAGTTTAATGGTACAAAATAAAAAAAAGATATTTTCAACATGACATGTAGAGTATGTACCATTATTAAACAAGACAAAATCTTCAAAATCATTAAATGAAAAGTCGGAGAGTATTGGCTACTTTGGAAATATAAGAAATATTTTCTGCCCATCTGAAATAGTTTATAAAAATATTTTGGACTTCAATTTCCTGCAAATCTACCAAAGAACTATTTGGCAAGATAACCACCAGCAGTGTGATAGTGGTTTAGACATATATATACAAATATCCTAAATACGACAACATACTGTCTTCACTGACGTCACATTGTATGTCTTAAAGGATTTTCAGGGTTAAAACATTGTTTGTCTCATACCTTTGTAAGAGAGTGGGGATCTACTGTACAAGGTTTTTTCCAACTGACCATACTGGTGCACATATCGGCATGGTACTGACAGGAACAGGCTCAGAATTGGGGAGAATCTAGGATCTGATCCCATGCAGTACTAGCAGATCCTGACATGGCCAAGGGACATAACTGTGAATTGTGGAGCCTCACACCACATGGTAACCTGTATCCCCATGTTATAAGATGTACCTAAAACACATATTGGAAAAGGTTATGAGAACAGTTTTGCTTGTGATCTTCTTCTTGCACTTAATGGGACTTGACTGATTGATCGCTGATTGGAGGATTGGTGTTTAAACAGTATTTCAGTTTGATCATGCATTAACTGACTTCAGGTATGCATTTTCCTAGGGTAATTTCTGTAGACAGATCAACCAAAGCACACTTTCAACTCATCTGTACTTCTTTGAATATACAGTGCAGCAGTGTCAATACTCAAGTCATCTTTGGGGCTGGTTCAGTTAGTGAATCTGAAGCAAAATCATTGACTATTTGTTGCATTGGCAAACTATTCTGAATCATATGTTTTCATTCTTGGTCAAGCAATTAAAAAAATGTTCTTGATTTCTCCCTAACATGTCAAATTCAAAATTACATCTGAAATTTAAAGTAATCCCTTCAGCAACATTGACAAATCTTAATCAATCATAAAAATTATATGAGAAAGAGGGAAGATTTGACGTAGAAAACAAAACAAAGTCAAACTAAAGCCATCTTATAATTTCCTCGATGAGTGTGTCTAAATCACCCATGGAAGTGGGTTGGACTTCACTCTTTCAAAACTTATTTCTTCAGGGAGAGTCTCCAGAGCTTAATGTTTTTTGCTTAAGATCATTACTGCACTACAACTTAAACATATCTGAACATGACGTTTTGGGATATATTTCACATATTTTTTAAAAACCATTCAACGCCTTCTTAAGATGTCAGATGCAAAATGGGAAGATCCCCTCTTTAGGAGATATATTATATATCATAACTCTTAATAATCATACATCTTCCTGGTTGGAATATTCAGGCTGTTTGTTTGCTGTCAAATCTCAATCCTGCATCTGATTACAAAGTTTCTTGACATCAAGCATGTGATTTATCGTAGATCCCAGTGTGATGAGGTGAGGATGAACATCACTTCATTATTTCATTTTGTGACAAGCTGAACGATAATAAATACAGATTGAATAGTGAGAGGAGATGTGTTAATCAAATACACGCACAATATAAGATAGATGTCACAACAAAACATTGCAGATATTTCAAGGATGCAGATTTCAATATTTACATGTTGAAACTATGTTATAGTTAAACTCATCAATAGGGGGACTTAACACATATATTACACAATGTCATACAATCAGATTTATTCTGATTTGGTAATTTAGCTCTTGATCCAATCTATGGCAAATTCAGATTCTGGCATAAAAATATTCTGTTTGCAGTATTAAAATTTCTTTGCAATGTCGAAGTCAACATGTAACAATGCATGAACACCTCCCAACAAAAAATCACAACACAATGTTAACATTCTCCCAACAGATGCGCTAGATATCCTCTAGACTGTCCGGTGTCCTTGAGTTGGACATACTTGGTATGTCCAAATAAATTTCACATTCTACAAATCTACAAACTACATACACTAACTTTCTTTGTTCAAGTGTAACACCTAGACCAAGAGCCTTACTGCTTTGTTATCATCTTCAAACAAATAACTAAAGAATTTATTTTGAAAGAAAAAATAATTCAGCCAATAAACAATATCAAAGTATGTATGTGATGAAGGGTTTCATACTCATCTTAGCGATCTTGCTCCAAAGTACAGCCGAAAAATGTAGGCATCACAAACTAACTCACAAAGAAAAGAACCTGGTCTTGGGTGCGTGGCAAGTGGACACACTAACCGTTGGGCTACCTTACAGACCAACAATACTAACGGGAGATTCACAGCATCCAGATAGGTTAAACATCTAGCAGTTAGTTTTTTTAATGACCTAAACATTTGTGTCTGATTCAGTGTAGTGACCGACCAAGGGTACATGTTAACAGTAACGGACAAAGTTGTGTTTTCATAATGCAAATAATGGGTTGTCCTCCTCTTCCTTCTGCAACTGTCGATTACTCCTGGGAGCAGCACGGGACTGTTGTTGACCTGTCGCCGCGGAGATACTCGGCACATCCGTGGCCGCAGAGGCTCTGTCCGCGAGAAACTTGTCAAAGTCTGAAACAAACATGTGTCAAAGTCTGAAACAAACATGTGCATGGTTCCTCAGCAAAACCAAGCCATAACTCGTATAACACCTGTACCTGAGTGAGTATGGTTTTATGCCGCTTTTAGCAATATTCCAGCAATATCACGGCGGGGGACACCAGAAATGGGCTTCTCACAATGTACCCATGTCGGGAATCGAACCCGGGTCTTCAGTGTAACGAGCAAACGCTTTTACCACTAGGCTACCCGGCTGCCCCACCTATACCTGATTCTACATAAAGCTAAGGGCAAATAGTACTGTCTTTGAACACAAAACACAGACAACTTTATTTGTAGTTTAGTATTCATATTAAATCAATAGGCAAACAATAGAAATTATTATTACTCTTGCCATTTTTGTAAATTGTTTCTTACTGGGTTGTATAATGATATTAATGCAAAATTTCTGAAAGGCAGAATTTTAGCTTACTATATTTTTGGTCAAATATTTGATCTGACTTAGACAATGATAGATGTCTCTGAACAAAATCCAGTCCTAAATTCTCTTTCATGCCATGGTGAGAGATTTGTTCCATTCGTACAAATTTACAGAAAATAGTGTCACAAAGTTCATACGTAACACCACACTAAAACAGGTACAAATAATGAATATACACTAAGAATTCACTGACAAAATGGTTAACAAAAACAAAAAACATCTTACAAAGATAGCAAGAATAGAAAATAGATTTACAATAATGACATGCTATAGCTTTCAAAAATCATTTCGTAAAAACCATGATATCCTACATAGATAATTGCAACAAACATTATCAAACACAAATAAAACCTCTTCATAACTTACAGCATTTCAATATTAATATAGATATTATGGAATACACTCATTTACATTATTTCTAAATACTATTACAAGGTTAAACGAAACACTGAACGCTTGATGTTTTTTTATGATGCTTTTCCTCCAGCAAACTCTTCATATACATATCCAGACAATATTTGAGGAAACGCAAGTGTTCGGATAAACGAGGTTCGACTGCATTGTTAAAAAAAAGGCAACTAATATTCAGTTCCATCCAAAATGGCCAATTTCTTTCAGCAGACATGGAACATTCTTCGCAACTAATACCTTCATGGACATTAGTGACAATCGTAGTGCACAGCGACAAAACCATATGGAGACAGAAAGTGCCAACAAGTAAACCGTTTACAAACTGAAGAACAAATAATAATTACATGTCTTTTGGTGTCAGACCTGTGTAAAGATACAACTACACGCTGAGCATGTGGGTGAAGACAGTGTGGTCGGACATAAACAGAGGCAACGCATGGTAACGTGAAGTCAAAGAAGTTAGTGAAGTCAGTCTACAGGTGGGAAGCTCATGGCCCCATCTTACAATGCCACCTTTGCTCTACCTCCGATCCCTATCAAACAAAATGATCTCAGTGCTAACCTCAACACCCTGTCCCTAAAAACGATGTTAGCGTTAACCTCAAGGTCCCATCTCTTAAAACTATCTTGCGCTAACCTCAAGGCCCTGTCCCTTAAAATGATCTGAGTGCTAACCTCAAGGCCCTATCCCTAAAAACGATGTTAGCGCTAACCTCAAGGTCCCATCCCTCAAAACGATCTTAGCACTATCCTCAAAGGATCTCAGTGCTAACCTCAACACCCTGTCCCTCAAAACGATGTTAGCGCTAACCTCAAGGTCCCATCTCTTAAAACTATCTTGCGCTAACCTCAAGGCCCTGTCCCTTAAAATGATCTGAGTGCTAACCTCAAGGCCCTATCCCTAAAAACGATGTTAGCGCTAACCTCAAGGTCCCATCCCTCAAAACGATCTTAGCACTATCCTCAAAGGATCTCAGTGCTAACCTCAACACCCTGTCCCTCAAAACGATCTTAGCGCTAACCTCAAGGCCCCATCCCTCAAAATGATCTTAGAGCTCACCTCAAAGGATCTTAGTGCTAACATGAAGATAACACCCATTCTTTAACATAGGCTTATAGTCGAAGCACTCAAAATCACCTTATGGAACAGTGCCAACTTATGCATCTGATAACATACCACCTATAAGCTATTATGCCCAACCTTTCTTGCCTTCAAATGTCAGGAAAGAGATTACCAACTGATCAATTCGAACCTCAAACTTCTGCAACAGTCCTACACATGGTCTATTAAGACAGTCACCTTTCTGATCAGTATCTAGTCAACTATTAGAGAAGTATCTAGTCACCTATTAGAGCAGTATCTAGTAACCTTTCTGATCCGTATCTAGTCACCTTTCTGATCAGTATCTAGTCACCTTTCTGATAAATATCTAGTCACCTATCAGATCAGTATTATTGTACAAGATCAAAGAACGTACCCTCTGTTAGTACAGCAAAATAAGCACTAGATATCATATATGTATAAGCAGTGCATGGTACGTGTTCTACTTAACAGCACACATGAGCAGGGGCATGTGGAAATAGCTGGAAATCTGGGCGCCGTGGTACAAAACAACCTTAGTGCTACGACTATCATAAGTCTATGTTAAGGTATGGAAGTTACGATCACCTAAAGGCTAAGGTCGCACGCCAGGACTCCAGATAACTAAATTAGCTGTTGAGTATTTACTTACAAGTTATCATTCACATTGGGTATTGATATCTCTTTGGGTATTCTATACATTTCTACTCCCATGGATCTAGTCTGTTGAGTATTCTTATACCAATGAGTAGATTTTTTTTTAAACATTTTTTCACGAAATGCTGTTTCAGGTGAATTCTACCTTGTATTTGTTTGTGTGCTGCTCCAAGTGTGTAACAGTGACCTATCGTCGGATCATACGTTTTCAGACATATGTTTTCAGATGTTTATCACGATTACTTGTGCAATAACGGAGGGTGTAGCATCACACAGACATCGTAGATACTCAGGTGATGGCTTGTTTTTAAGAGAAAGTTGTCTTACCTAGGTCAATGAGTTGTTTTACAGTTGTTCATGTGATTAGAGAGAAAACTATGAATGTTTTTTAAGCATCCGAAAACCCAGAACACGGGATACAGGTTATTCGGGGCCCTCAGCTCTACAATCCCTGAGGTCCCCTATACTGAAGCCAGGATGTTAGTGTGTCTGCTCCTGTTCTAACATGCATAGGGTGCCTACTCTGCCCGCCCCCACAATCCCTAAGTAATGTCCCCTATATTGATGCCAGCATCTTAGTGTGTCTGCTGTTTTAACATGTTCTAATATAGCAGGACAACCTCCAGCTGCTGATGTGGGGTCAGTCGGAGTGGCAGCTGCTATGGTAGCTTGACCTGCCACCGTTTCCTTCATGCCGAGTCACAGGACAAGACATGCCAAAGTGGTGGGCAAACTCGACACCAGCCTCTACGTCACTCTCAGCAAGGTCTTATAGAGAAGGGTGACAATAGGGTCATAATCACTGACAATAAATTAATTCCCTGCCTTCCTCACATTATATTATTGTGCCCAGATAAAGCAAATATCTATGTCTTTTCTTTACTTGATGACACCATTTACATTGAGCTGTTTCCCAGGCTTCACAAATGTCAACAGTTAATGTCCACAGATGCTCTGAATAATTTTCAAAATGCCTCCCTTCTCAGATAATGCACATTTTTGTATGACAATCTAATTTTCTATTGGGGTCAAACATGGGAATGCTTATTTCAGGCTACCCTTGGCCCCATTCCACAAATTTAACAAAGCGCACCGACAGCCGTAAGTCTATGTTAAAGCATGGATGTTACTAACATCTCAGCACTACGATAGCTTTGGGAAACGGACCTCTGGTTCATAACATCTAAATCTGTTCAGTGCGTGAGTGGGTGATGTGACGGGAGCCTCCGTTGGAGTAGGATACGCTCACCTTTTCACAAACATCTAGTATCATCACTATTTGATAGTGATTCATAAACACATGCTCATGATATTGTAGGAATCAAACAATCGACTCTGCTTTATGCAGAGATTTCTATTGGATATGGAAAGGGTTTTGTTGCTTTAATTACACCAGTCAACAATACTGGAGCCATATCCTAACGATCTATGTAAGCTAGCTATGTGATAAATCATAAACAACAATGAGGATTTTACGATAAAAATTTGTTCTATCATGACGTCATTTCTGGAGATTGGAACATGCGCTCGCAACTTGATGACATTGTATAGTGGACAAAGTTATTTTTTGAGAGGGAAGTGCCTAATTGTCCCCCATAGATGTAGCTTCGCAACACAGATAAATGCGATGGCCAAACGATCGCATCCAAAAGCCATGTGAGGATTGTGAGAATATGCAGGAAATACCCACACGTTCATAAAATGGACTTGTTCGACATTGACAAAGTCGGATTCTATTGAGGGAGTCATCATTATTTAAATATGGGTAAATATTTTATCATCATCCTTAAGAGTCTGTACATAATGTTGATATCTCATATAACAAATAAACGACTCGTGGTCGTCCTTTATTTCTTAAGTAAATAATGGAGCATCAACCAGGCACTCTGTCAAGGCATGTGACCCAACCATCCTGGGGCACTTTCCACAAAGCGATCTTAGCCCTAGGACTGTCACAAGTCAATGTTGAACTATGGGAGTTATAATCATCTTAGCTAAGATCGCTTTGAGAAACAGAATCCAAATCACAATTTATAACCACGCCATCCTCAGTAGTCAGCTCTCACGACAAGCATGAGATACTAGGGACCTATATGCTCTAATACCTATGTACGTCACACTATCTCGTATGTTTGACACTGCTGGACAAAAATCAGATAAATGCCATTTGATGCTTATATAAAACTATAGGCAGAATATAGCCTATTTATTGTCCAGATTGTTTAAGCTATTCATTAATTAACAGCTGAATCATTCTTTACAACGAAGCATAAGGATGGATCTTGACATTTTGCAGTTGTTTTTAACCATAAACAAAACAAACATGACACAGAAATCCTTCTGAAGAAATAGCTTATTACCCAACAACTTGGCTGGACTGTCATAAAATATGACTAAAAATCTGTGAAAGTTCTCTAAGGGAGATAATTCACAAAAGTATAAATCAAAGGGAGATAACTGACTTCAAAAACTGATCCAATAATTATATATAAAAACATAAAAATTGTGTCACCTTAACAACTATAAAATGACACCAAGAATATCTGTAGACACTGACAGAACGTTGACATGGAGCCTACAGCCTTTAGTTGAGAACCGAGTATCTCACCCAATGGTTAGCAATGATGTTAATATGTCCCCACACCAGCAACACACCAAGGAGTAACATCTGGAAACTTCTATACCATATGTTATATGTTGCTATGTTTGTGAAGCACACTATCACTGCATATTTTGCAGTGTGTTACAATGTAGCAGGAAATTTGAATTGTGAAATTCGTGAAAGGTTATCCAGAGATATCTAGAAAATAAAATGCACCTTTTTTTAAAAAAAATGAACAAAATATTGTAGAGCAGTTGTCTAACCAAACACAGGTTAGAAGTGAAAGAAAGGTCAGTGAAAGTATATACCAGCTTTGTAAGAAAGAAATAAGACTAAGCGAAACATTGACAAATATTGTACCAGGGCTCAACCCAGGATACTCTCTGTCGTCTGCATAGAAACAAAGTCAGATATTAGAACGATAATGGATATTCAAGGGAATGGATTTGCAAATACTAACAGATAAATCAACAGTTTATTATTAGTATGGTATCAAACGAAAGTCCAGATAAAAAATAGTTTTCTTTAAATATTGTTGATGCTAGTTTTGTCACTAAATAAAATATATATACAAATGTGAACAATTGTTAAGTTAGGATGTTGTTTAATGTGCGATTTGGGAAATTAAAGAAGCATTTATCAGAAATAGACAAAAGCACAACTGCATGCATTGGAGGTAAAATATACAAAATTAATTTATCTACAGTGGAATCTGTCCAATTCGGACTCGGTTGGGACCGGTGAAAAAGTCAGGTTTAAAGCGAGGTCCAGATTACTCAGAATACCGGTACAACAAAAATTTGACAAGAGACAAAGCGAAAAGCAACGATCATTCATCTTTATTTGTGTACACATTCACTGTACATGAAATATTGACATGAGATCACATTAAATACACATTTAAACATTCTCTCCTTGAAAAAGTCATTGAGAACGAAGATTGTTTTTCAAAATCGTGTCCTCAGTCATTGTTTTGAGGTGAAAGTCATTGGTTCACCATCAAGGGACCATTCATTGAGGCCAAATGGCGAACTGCTGCTCATAGTCCTCACTACGTTAAAGAATATCAGAGACACTTTCTTTGCCTGTGTAAGTTTGATACGCTTTTTCTTTGCCGCTCTATCAGCCATTGTGATTAATAACTACAAGCTGTTACCGTTATTTATTGACACGCTCATGATTTAATCTAATTAAGCCGAGTATCTCATTAACAGGTGAGTGAATTCCAATTAACTAAGCGGATAACAAAGTGTTAAGATCAACAGGATTATATGCAGGATTAGCATCGTTATTTCTGCTGTCAACGACTGAGCTTACTTCAAAGTCAGAGAACCTTACGGTCCAGTTCGGTCTATTCCATCCCATTTAGACAGGTTCTTTTCAGTAGTAAATTGGTCGTTGGGACCGTAATTAAAGTCCCAATTAGAGAGTTGTAGGTCAGTTTGAGTAATGATAATTTATAAAGGAACTGAGAGGACCGGAGAAAAAGTCTGGATTTCACCGAAATCCAAATTTGCCAGACTTTGATTTGGACAGATTCCACTGTATTTGGACCAACATGAGACAAGAGGTTAATATGTCTATTAATATACACATTCTTTCATTAGAATATACATGAACATGAGCTAAGATAAACTAGCGGACTATTAAAACAGATTGTCCAATCTTACCTGAACTGGAAACTGGGTCTGTCACCCCTCCCGCGCCCTGAAACACAAAATATCAGGTGAACAGTTTGACCTGTACATGATGAATCTATGCATCAGTTCGGGGTACCCATGTGAAACTGCTGCATGGTGTCTCAGTGGGAAAGTATAAAAGCGGGATTAGTCCTATGAAATCAATTTTAGGCAGGACTAGTGTGTTATACTACACAAGTGAGTACTATACATAAGAAAATGCATAGTTAATCAGAATAACTGCAACAACAGAGGCGTGATAATGCCTTCAAAGTACAATCCACTGATTTCGTTTAAGTTTACTGTTCTAACACATGTAACAAGCATAGGGTACTAAGGGCCTACTCTGCCCCCCAATCTCCAACCGATGTTCCCTATATTGAAGCCAGTATGTTCGTGTGCCTGCTGTTCTTACAAGCATAGGGTACTAAGGGCCTACTCTGCCCCACAATCTCCAACCGATGTCCCCTATATTGAAACCAGTATGTTCGTGTGCCATCTGTTCTTACAAGCATAGGGTACTAAGGGCCTACTCTGCCCCACAATCTCCAACCGATGTTCCCTATATTGAAGCCAGTATGTTCGTGTGCCTGCTGTTCTTACAAGCATAGGGTACTAAGGGCCTACTCTACTGCACAATCTCCAACCGATGTCCCCTATATTGAAACCAGTATGTTCGTGTGCCAGCTGTTCTTACAAGCATAGGGTACTAAGGGCCTACTCTACTGCACAATCTCCAACCGATGTCCCCTATATTGAAGCCAGTATGTTCGTGTGCGTGCTGTTCTAACAAGCATAGGGTACTAAGGGCCTACTCTACTCCACAATCCCAGACTTAGGGAACCTACTGCACAATCCCTGACTGAGGTTCCCTACATTGAAACCAGGATGTTCGTGAGCCTGCTGTTCTAACAAGCATAGGGTACTAGGGGCCTACTCTGCCCCACAATCTTCAACTGATGTCCCCTATATTGATGCCAGCATCTTAGTGTGTCTGCTGTTCTAACATGTTCTAACATAGCAGGAGAACCTCCAGCTGCTGATGTGGGGTCAGTTGGAGCGGCAGCTGCTATGGTAGCTTGATCTGCCACCGCTTCCTTCATGCCGAGTCACAGGACAAGACATGCCAAAGTGGTGGGAAAACTATATCAACTCGTTATTTCACCCGTCCCCAAGTAGATCCTGGCCAATCCAGTGGCCTGTGGAACTAAAGTGTATACATAAGTCCGGAGTATGGAGGACCTTACCTGGGGTTTCTGCGTGGCAAGCCACTGTTCCATCTCATCGTAGTCAGTCTCCTTGTCCTGAAGCTGTGGGAAAAGCAGACAGTAAGTAGCAGAGGTCTATGCTCAACAGATGTTTGATGATTTGCTGGTCAAAGTCGCACTCAGCAATATTCCAGCTATATGATGGCAGCCTGTACATATCAAGTCTGACCAGACAATCCAGTGATTGATATTATGAGCAAGCCATCAACCTAGTCCCCGAGCCTGACCAAAACATTTCATGAAGTCATTTTGTACGACAAGGACAGGTAGGTGGGCAATCTGATGAGGAAATCTGGAAATCGGATGAGGTTAGTGTCTGAAATCAAGGGGGTCCTGGGACCTTCGGGTGTGCTACAATAGTATTTGAACATCATCACCCTGAATCATTATTCTTAACAGGAATATGACAAGAACCCCTTGCCCTTCATGATGGGCATGTGTTAGAGAAGTATGTAGACAAATATTGTTTGTCAAATAGCAGGCATACATCATTTACTAATTGACTAATCAAAGATAATTTTACAATTACATTTAGTGCTTTGATCTTAAATGTCATTCATATGTTCGTCCCTATGTTCTGGCTTCATACCAGCTGACCCTGTGTGCAAGGCAACAGTGGACATGAAACAACTCCCTCAATCAAGAATACCGTATTCGACGTAATAAGCGCCCCGCTCTAATAAGCGCCCACGGCGATATTTGCTGATATATTGGCTAGTGAACAATCCCAATTAGCACCCCTTCCGATGGATCAATGTACACAAGACTTATTCATTCGCGTATAATACACACTCGTGTGTTATATTATATGCACACTTAATTATGGACAATTAAATTCTGGAAAAATATATCTGTCGTACATAAACATTTCAGGCTGTCACTATAAACCACGAAATTTATCTTCTTCTTTTTTTCACCAACATAATGTTCTAATAAATGCCCCCTACTTCTAATTTTGAGAGCGCCCTGGGCGCTTATTACGTCGAATACGGTAGGTCATGAACAAGAGAGACAGCTTGAAACCATTAACAATCCTAGTGCTAGGACTTCTGAGTCTGTTTGTTATTTAATGCTGCACTCAGCAATGTTCCAGCTACATGACGGCGGTGTCAAAATAATCAAGTCTGGACCAGACAATCCAATGATTTTTTGACAAATGTACATTTATATATGCTGGTGGATTTGTGGGAGGAAGACAAATTGAAAAATCATCCCTTCTCATATATAATTTGTACAAAAGTCTTGTTATGTTTTTCTCTGTTTGTTCTTAAATGCCACACTCAGCAATATTCCAGTGATATGACAGCGGTATGCAAATAATCGAGATAATTCAGTGAACGACTCAATGAGCATCGATCCATGCATTTGGGACCACCAGATCCCGTTAGTCGCCTCGTATGACAAGCATAGTCACCTTTTTACGGCAAACATGGGTTGCTGTAGGCCTATTCTAACCCGGATCTTCACGGGTCTGGGAGTTATGACATAGTGTTAAGATCACTAATAGAAACAGTCTTCCTCGAATTAATTTCTGTTTCACAAAGCAATATCAGTACTAGGACAGTATAAAATCTCTCATAACATTCGGGAGTTCCAAGGGACAAGTTTGCAAACAGGGACAGGGTCTCAACATGTGCACCTACATCCAGTATTTCCTGCTGGGTCCTGGCTGTGACGGCCTGGCCGAGTCCCACTCCTGCCTGGTCCTCCTGCTGGTTGGTGTACGCTCCAGAACTGTAACAGTCAGTCATAATGATGCAGGAAATGATATTCCAGTCATACAACGGAGCCTGGGCCAGGCAACCATGTGGGGGGGTGACATGTGGTTTAACATCACGTTCAAGTTTATTGCACTTATATAGCAACGTGTGTGTGCAAGGTGAAGTGGGGCTTAACGTAGTTTTCAAAACTATTGAACTTACATAACCACATGCAAGCATGAGCACATGCGTATGTGTCTGTCTCCGCGTGTGTGTCTGTCTCTGTGTGTGTGTCTGTCTCCGCGTGTGTGTCTGTCTCTGTGTGTGTCTGTCTCCGCGTATGTGTCTGTCTCCGCGTGTGTGTCTGTCTCTGTGTGTGTCTGTCTCCGCGTATGTGTCTGTCTCCGCGTGTGTGTCTGTCTCCACGTGTGTGTCTGTCTCTGTGTGTGTCTGTCTCCGCGTATGTGTCTGTCTCCGCGTGTGTCTGTCTCTGTGTGTGTGTCTGTCTCTGTGTCTTCATGTGAGTGAGTGTGTGAAAGGTAAAATGGGGTTTAACGTCACTTTCAAGATAATTGAAGTTCCATAGCCATGTGCACATATATGTTGCGAGCGTGCATGTGTGTACTAGTCCGGACAACTGCCAGTTTTATAATGCTAGGCCACTGCAATACCATGGCGCAGTTTATCATGGATACCCCACTCCGACATGGTATCCTGACTCTGAGTCACCCTTGAATGTCTTTTGACATGACGTGGTCAGCGATCAAACCACTAAATCTGAATTAATTGGCTCATGCAACAAGCATTGGGTGCTGAGGATCTTTTCTCCCTCAGAATCCCCATGGGAGACATTGCAACTTATGACTTAGGCAGTCACAGTATTCAACATCTACATTTGCACTCATCACAAGATCTGCCTAGAGTTACCTGGGTGCCTGTTTGTTCTCTTCAAATGACTGACGTGACTGAGCAAACATGTCGAAGTCATCGCTGAAGGCGGCGGAGTTGGTGGCAGGGGCTCCAGTGTTGGTGGCAGGGGCTCCAGTGTTGGTGGCAGGGGCTCCAGTGTTGGTGGGGGGTACCCCAGAGTTGTAAGCAGGAGCACCATTGCTACTGCCCATGTCTGAAGATGGAGGGATCATCGTTTACATTAAGAGAAGGGGGACAGGCCAGGGACGGCAGGGAACTGGGAAACTGGCAGGGAAAGGCTATATTTGGCTCACTAGGATCTCCGAATTCTAGAAATATGGAACTATATATCTACAAAATACTGAGCTTTTCTACAAAAGGTGTAGTGAAAAACAGCAACACACCGTCTGTTTGTTGCTTAATGCCGCATTCAGCAATATTCCAGCTATATGACAGCGGCCTGCAAATAATCAAGTCTGGACCAGACAGTCTAGTGAATGATATCGTAAGCAACAATCCATGCCATTGGGGTACGATGACACGCAATCAACCGAGTCACAGAGACTGACGACACGATCCATGTGGTCCCCTCTTACAACCAACATAGGTGGCTATAGACCAGTCCTAACACTGCATTAGAGATTAATGTATCCTGGGGCACAGCATATACATGCCCATCAAGTATTGATGAGGTCTGACATATTAATCAATCATGGAATATGTCCTGTTTCGTATAGTTAAATATCCTAACACTCAGGAGCAATACAACATTGTACAACATGTAGCTGTAAGTAACACAAAGCATTCACCTAACAAGACAGTAAAAGATTACATACTCATGCCAGCCATCTGGACGTTGACATCGGAGGTGCTTGTGGCTGCCCGTTCAGCGCCACCCAAGTCGATCAGGTTTCCTACGGTGGGGTTGTTGGATGCCTGGACCTGTGAGAGAAAAGTTACCCGTTGTCTGATTGAGGTGACACACATGGAAGTTGGGTTATGTTACAATCTGTCACAGTCGGCAGACGTACATAGCACCTCAGTAACGTTACCCTCTCGGAGACATTTGCCACACCGGTGATGGCCATGAGCAATGGCATAGGGCTGACAGACCAGGGGTCATAGCAGGATTAATCTATGAGTGACTCGGTGAGTTTGGCTGAACACTTCTTTCAACAGTATTCCAGTTATATCACCACATGTCAGGTTAATGAATGAGTGAGTGAGCGAGTTTGGTTTTACGCCGCTTTTAGCAATATTCCAGCAATATCACGGTGGGGGACACCAGAAATGGGCTTCACACATTGTACCCATGTCGGGATTCGAACCCGGGTCTTCGGCGTGACGAGCGAATGCTTTAACCACTAGGCTACCCGACCGACCCGTCAGTTTAATGATGAAACCAAATACCACAGGTATGGTGCTGACAAACCTGAAAGACATTAGGGTGATCTGAAATTTGAAACCCATGATCAAACGTTTCTGGCATACCCCGAGGACACAACTCTGCACAGCACAACTAAACTACAAGGCCATCCATGCTTTGAAGAATCTGTGACGGAATCAACAATGAGTTAGCGCTGGCCTGACTAAAGAATGTAACTCTAAACATCAAATTGCAGGACCCGAAATGACTTTGCCCCTCTTATTAATGTTACTGGACACCATACACGCGACAACATGAGTGAGTATTCTTCTAAAGCTGATCGCCCAGTTATCACAGCAATGACAAGATATAATACATTATTTACTTTATCAACATGTAACTTATGTTGTTCTACAATTGAAAGTTGCATTACCTCCAACATATGCATCCAGGAGGTTTTTTAATATGACACCACACTTCTGATTTAAGTTATATTTACAATTAAATTTTTCATGATCAAAACAGATGTTACCTGTTTAGACGTTATGATTTAGGATCCAACATTAACATTTTGGAATTCTTTAAACTCTTCTGTATCAAAAGTTATAATCATGTTAACAACAAAAAGCATTCCTTCACAAATTAACAAAAAACTGTTTATTATGATTTGTTTCAAAGTTTATAAAAAAATACAGGTTTATACACCATATGTACGTACACCTGAGATCTCTATCTATAAAGAGCCTAATTGGCAATATGATTAGACCAAGAACCTGTGCCCAGTGTCAGAGGTCTATAAAGAGTCTGATTGGCAATATGATTAGACCAGTGTTGGCTGAAGAGCGCGTTTTTGCGTCTTGGACGCACAAAAATAAGTTTGAACGCACCTGCGTAACATGTGTGGGTCTCGTGGACGCAGTGACTGGGGCTATATTAATTTCATATCGAATTGACACTGTTATCGTAAATCAAAGACGTACGTCTTTGCGTAAAGGTATTTGTTGCCAAACAAGACAGCGAAGCATGTTGATTAACACTTCCGTTTGCTAAACCAAACCAGTTTCATTATTCTCTCCCTTTTTATATCAAAAATACCCAAACCGGTTTCTTGACCTATATCTATATTGTCGGTTTTGCATGTATTAATTTTCGGTATGGTCCGTAGCTTTGCTTCAGCCAATCAGGTGCCACATCTTAAGCAAGTCGGATATAGTCGTAATTAATTTAGCTTGCTGATTGGTCGAAAATATCCTGACCTTAAAATAGCCAGGCACATCAAGGGTATACTTCAGAACGTGGTAACAGTGACCCGCGAAATCGAGCGACCGTGTAGGATGATAAGCTATGTTATCGCGGTAGTTAATTTATAATGGATCGTAGTGGGGCACGCTTACAAACTTATTAAATATGTGATTCACAAAATGTTTGTTGTTCATTGGATTGATTGATGCTGATTTTCTTTACCGAGTTCGGTAAACAAAGTACCTGTCATTGGTGAATCTTACCGCAGTAAGTAAGGCTGTGTGGATTATATGGTATATCACTTCCTGTTTTGAATTTTGCATACGACCGAGGTTTGGTCAAGGGACTTCGTTTGAACAAATGGGTTCTTTTTCTAATCAATTTTGAATGGAGGAAGGGGTAATTCCACTTCAAAAACATCCCAGGAACTGTCATAAAAAAAATTAACGTGTGTACAAGTAGCCGTGACATACCGCAACGAGTCCTGTATTCGATCATGCGATGAAATATATCGTGCTTAGATTTGCATAAGTAAACAGTCGACAGGTTGTGTGGATTACGAGATTTATCAATACCGCGATACTGTATATGATAAAGAATGAATGCGAACACTTGAATGTACAATGATGTAAGCATTGTTTTTACTTAGCGGACTCTGAATATTTAGTTATTCTACAACAGACTTATCAAGCTGATTATAATTCAATATCTTGTGAGTCATATTAAGAATTGCAAAACACATTTAGCCAGGACCGTTATTGGTGTTACTGACATGTTTAAACATTTATAGCACCTGAAACATGTTGACTTGATTTATCAAGGAAATGCTGGATCCTGAACATACTCTTACTAAAAAAACGTTCGATATGCCAATTATATTTTATGACTCATTGATCATTGTCACAGTTACAACATGAACTCAATACTCAGTACAGTAGCATCAGAACAGCCATTGAACTTAACTGAATCCATAACTTCAAATCATTTGTAGATCTCGGTAAAAACATTCACAAATGTCTGTCACAATGACCCCTTACCAATGGCTGACCCGTGTACTGCCTTTTCATATACGAAGTTAGATATTAACATGGATAATTTTGTGTTATAGTATTCATTAATATCAAATGTCCCTTTTAAGAAATTGTTTGTCCCTTAATGTAAACCTCTTGGTTATGAGAGCAGGATGTGCCCTGATGTGAACCTTTCTCTCACTTTGCCTGTTTGTTGATATTTTGCAGTTGCGAAAAGATTTCTTATTTTTCACAACCACTGTGTTCTGTTGTTAATGTTATGTTATAATGCTATAAATTGGACCCCTCCATTTTTGTTTCGGACCCCTAATTTTATGATGAAGGGGTCCAAGTGACCCCAAGAAAATTTAAGCCAGAGCAGACACTGTTAGACCAAACACCTGTGCCGAATGTCAGAGGTCTATAAAGGGTATCATTGGCAATATGATTAGACCAAGCACCTGTGCCCAGTGTCAGAGGTCTATAAAGAGTCCAATTGGCAATATGATTAGACCAAGCACCTGTGCCCAGTGTCAGAGGTCTATAAAGAGCCTGATTGGCAATATGATTAGACCCAGCACCTGTGTCCAGTGTCAAAGGTCTATAAAGTGTCCAATTGGCAATATGATTAGACCCAGCACCTGTGCCCAGTTCTAGAGGTGCACAATGTATACAACTTTGTACATGTTACAAGGGAGAAGAGAAATCACACAGTCTTGATGGGTCACAAAAGACAAACAAGATGCACATTTCATACCCGAAAACATAAGATCATGTAAATCAGCTGATTGTATATTAAATTCTTTCAAAATGAGACATAACATTATTTTCTTATTAAAACAATATCAGACAATTTTCACCATGTCTATACAACGCCCCCATCTTCTACTTCTATCACTGACAACACATGGCCCGCATCAGCTGAACAGCATGCAGTGAAATATCCCCATGGTCAATACAGGAGATGTACACAACAGCAAGCGATACATCCTGGGCTACACAAGCCCTTAAACAAACCAAAACTGTTATACTATGGACATGGTGTTGACAGCAGAAAACCACATCAAAATACAAATGTGCAGAATCATTATTCACAAACATAAAATATGACCACCACTTTGTCTCCCACATCCTACATTCTAGTAAACAACACTCTCATTTGAGGGCAAGTCTGCAACATGGGACCTGATTATGACAACTGCCTGAAAACAATAAAATCTGGACCAGACAATTCAGAATCTGAAATTGTGCACAATGATCCACGACGCTGGGTATTATGACATGCAATAAACCAAGTCACAGAGCCGGTACATTCTCTATGTTTGTCCACTTTCAAAAGGTCACAGCCCTTCTTATTTTACTGATTAGTCACAGGGAAATTATTTACCAAATTGACTCAAGTTTTTGTGAATATACCTCTATGATATCACGTTATGTCGCCAACAAATAATTTCACTATTACGGAATTCCTTTGTGAGGGTTAAAAATCAATCAACCCTCATACATCAAGGCCAGGGAACCAGTTGTTGATGGAATGATTAATGATCCATGCAGCCAGGGTATGGTCTGACATTGTGATCACGTGGTTGGGGGTCACGTGGTGGTGGATCACATGGTGGGGGTCATGTGATGGTGGATTGCGTGGTGCAGGGTCACAAGATGGTGGATCACGTGGTGGTGGATCACGTGATGGTGGATCACATGGTGGGGGTCACATGATGGTGGATCATGTGTTGGTGGATCACGTGGTGATGGATTGGTGGATTTTGTGGTGGTGGATCACGTGATTGTGGATCATATGGTGGAACATGTGATGGTGGATTGGTGGAACATCTGGTGGTTGATCACGTGGTGCCAGATCACATGGTGGTGGAACACACGATGGTGGAGTGAGTGAGTTGGGTTTAAGGCCACTTTTTAACAGTATTCCAGTTATATGTGTCAGCTTAATGTGGGAGGAAAGCCTTAAGTGATGCAGATCTCAGACGTTTACCACTTCTGTGAAACCCATGAGCATGGATATGGTGTAGACAAACCTAGAAACATAATCGGGGCGAACCGGGATTCGAACCCACAATTATAGGTTTCTGACAAGCACAAGGGACACAACTCTGCACAACTAATTATGGCACCTTAGCAACTGGGCCACCCGTGCCCCCGAGCGATGGTGGGTGAGGGAAAGGGACATAGACTCACCAAGGCCCTTTGAGTCGGGCAAGCAAATAACTACATCATCTATAAACACTGCACTACATATTCATATTAATAAAATGTCCAGAGTATATATGTATATATAACCAAAAAGCAGAATATTCTGAATACAAAATTCTAAGGAGATATGAAACATCACCAAGCTAATGAAGCAGGAATGCCAAGCCCAGAAACATATCTATGAGTTTGTATAAAAGCCGATGAACATGGCACCTCACAGTACACACTTTGAACACACACTTATTTTATCACATCATACAGTGTTAGTACAACCAGGCAGATTATATATGTCAGTGAATGAGTTGGGTTTAATGCCAGTTTCAATGGTATTTCAGAATCGTGTTGTGTTGGTTGTATGGTGGGAGGAATGCCTGAAGTGATGCAGGTCTTTGGTGAAACCAATGAGCACCAGTATAGTGCTGACAAACCTAGAAACGTAATGAGGTCGAATCCAGGCTTTAAACCCACGATCCCAGATTTCAAGCAAGGACCTCTGCAGAGAACACTGCATCACCTTAATGACAACTGGTATCATCATCATCTATTTATACTTGGGCTCAGACGATACACCAACTGTGATACGTGATCTGATACATACACGATATGTTATTCACGATCTGATAAGTATCACGATACTGTATGTGCTCTTATCTGTGGTGCGTAAGCCATCTTTTTCACAGGCAGGATGGCCAAATACCTGGCACACTGACAATTTACAGTTGGCGGTGCCAAGTATGGCACAATGTATTAAAATATTTACTTTTTCACAACTTAATTTCACTTCTAATTAGTGTTTGGTGTAACAGCCATTAAAGTAAACATTTAAGGTATGAATCAATATTTTTTACTTCGTGTGCGACTATGATCGATACTTGTATGGGGAGGTAAAATATCTGGATCCACTGATGCATGGGTGTGTCATCCCACGCTAATTTATACTGGGCCAAGTTCCAGCTAGGCTCCTAACAGCCGCTTTAAATGAAAAGCATTTATGTAAACGTAGCAGTGGTACTGACTGTGGCCCAGAACACCATCTCCAACGATGGAGTAGTTGGAACATACAGCGTCCACGACTGGCGACCCCCCTCCCCGTGAGATGGCATGACACAACAAGCAGCTACAACAAAGGATGAGGAAGTACATAGGAGCAACTGTGAGGAGCGAGACAGACGTGATTGCTTACCAAAGGCTCTGGCGCCGACACAACCTGGTTAATAAGTGGCATGTACATACATCATGATGAAGCAAGCTGGAGATACAGACAGGGCAAGTGTGGAACTTGGTAGCAGTCAGTCATAGACCAACATGCCCAACTATTGGTTATTCCATGACACTTAACTCTTTGATAAGAAACATGCCATGAGCAATAATACAGCGGACATTCACATCTCAGTGTACATGTCAGAGTGTGAGTGAGTGAGTTGGGTTTAACACCGCTTTTAACAGTATTCCAGTTATATCGCGGCGTGTCAGCTTAATGTGGGAGGAAAGCCCGAAGTGATGCAGGTCTCAGACGTTTACCACTTCGGTGAAACCCACGAGCACGGGTATGGTGCTGACAAACCTAGAAACATAATCGGGGCGAACCGGGATTCGAACCCACAATCATAGGTTTCTGGCGTGCCCAAGGGACGCAACTCTGCACAGCGAATCGCGGCGCCTTAGACGACTGGGCCACCCGTGCCCCCTGTACATGTCAGAAATAGTACCAGTATTATGGTGAAACAGTTAACAGAAAAGAATTTGTGTGCAAAATCAGTGTTGCAGGGATGAATCGGGACCAGCTCAGAGTACTATGCTTGGCCCCATGTCTACAGCCAAAGTCTGAAAATTTTTCCAAACTGCGACTAAAATTATCAAATTTGTTTTTTTTAACATCACTTTAAGCACAATTATTTCTTTCCGTACAGTTAATCCCTGTGAGCTTCTAGACCCTGTTAGTCCAGCGTACATACTGCTCTCTGATGATTTAGTTGGAGTGTTCTAAATTAAGGGGGTCCTGGGGACCTTTAAATCCGGTCCTATGTTATTTGAATCTAGGGACCCTATAAATATTTAACTTTTAACAGAGTAATCAAACAAAAGTTGTATTTGTTAATAATTCAAAGTATACTGCCGGTACCTCATATGCAATAGGCTTGGGAAGCAAGATACTATTACTTGCACAACTAGTCAGTGATAATTAACAGTGAAGAGGACTTCTGTTCAACATCTGAAGATTTTTAGTGTGATTACGGCCAAAATACAGGAATTTTGGCAATGATGTAATAGAGGTATGGTATTCATAGGAATTATCAGGGTTAAGACAACATGAACAAGCACCATTTGACTTTCATGCATAAGTGTGAAAACTGGTTAGGTATAAAAAGAATATTCCTCTGTAAAAACAATTTGTTATTACAGGAACGTGTGCCCTTGACAATTCAACAGGGAATAGTTCTGATCCTAGCAGGGTTTCACTGTAAACGGTTTTGTCCATGAATACAACTTTATAGAAATCCAGATAATCAGGAGACAAGGACACATGAAATCAGGCCAAAGGTTACGTAGCTCACCTGGGAAGTGTAAAAACTAACATGATATGAATGTTAACATGTTCAAACTGACATGCACTAAAACATTAACTTGTTTACAGGCACCACTGTGCATATTTCCAAATCTTACAATAACCCATAAAGATTGGGATAGACATCTACACACCTGGTCATAAGAGGGAGGCAGGTGGTCATCGCTGGCCGGTGGCACTGACGATGGTACCGTCTCCGCTGGGGCCTGGTCCGGAGTGCCAGCCTGCCCGGTACGGTATCTCTCAAACCGCTCATACCGCAGGAATACGTTGTTCATGTCATCGTTCACTCTCAACAATTCATCTGTAGGAAACATCATGTTGTCAACGGTGTACAGAATAAATACTGGGAGTAAATAGTGAGTGAGGTTTTCTCCAATCTCATTAAAATCAGATCTAAGTTCTCGCTAACGCTAAACAAAGATCTGAGGACATCCCATTACGAGTCACGTCAGAACGACCTTTCATCCAACCAATCAGAACGTCGCTTACCAGATCATGAAAGTGACAATTGGAATGTGTTTTCTAATCATGCAACCTCGAAATATTTAACAAAGGGTATTCCGAACCACAGTTACAGGTTTTATGATTATATCCATACAATCTAGGCCATCTGTAAGTCATTCCAGAATGTTCTTTTGATCAGTTTTAAAAATTTTAATCGAGAATTATGTTGCGAAGCATAGTCGCCAGTTTGAAACTAGTGTCATAAAGCTCGAAAAAGCTGCCATCTGATTGGCTATTGTCGATTTCTTGTCAGTCATTTCATTGGTCGGTCAAAGTTCGCAAAAGGTCGTTCTGACGTGACCCGTAATGGGATGTCCTCAGATCTCTGTTTGGCAGTAGTGAAAACTAAGATCTGATTTTAATGAGATTGGGTTTTCTCTGTTGTTGTTTATACTGCAGTGAGTATTATATAAGCTAGATCACGGCACTAGGGCTGTAATGCCAATCGAACTATCAGTGTACTGCAAGTGTTTGCCCTACGATTGTACAATATCCAGAGCTCCAGATAACGTTTTGATCAATTGAGTTTTTTCTATTCTAATTGGGTTATTACATTTTTCATTGTGTAACCAATATTATTTCACTCATCTATTCATCACTCTATTGGGTTTTTCCCAAAATGAGTAAGCATTTTGCGATTTAAAAAAAAATGAAATAATGTTTTAGATGTATTTAACACTTCTTAATATAGGCTTGACTCAGAAAGTAAATTAGCTTGTAATTGTGTTTTGGAAATTAGCTCCGTTGTACACATGCTGAAAATACTTCATTGGGTATTTACACCTGCTGTTTTCAAACAATTGAGTTTTTCATTTAAATCATGTGTTTCTGTACGCAAGTTAATTGAAAGTAACTGGGTTTTGAACAGTTTTGAGGGGTATTTTACGCAAATATGCATCTTATCTGCAGTTCTGTATATTGATAGAAAGTGCTGAGGTAATTATCTGTAGTGTGCATAATGATCAATAGTTTCAATCGTGTCAATACATCATGCTTCAGTAAACTCGAATTTTAAACCTGTGGTACATTAATTAACAAGGATTACGATAACTTCAGACAACAGTTACTTCCCTTGGGTTTTAGTTAAGACTATCGCAATACTATACTAATTTTTGTGTGGGGCACTTTTGCAATATTACGACAATAGTGAAAACAGACCCACATGGCACCTGTAAATAATTGTGTCAGCGACAGACAAACCGGTGGTTGATATTATGAGCATCATTCCTAAGGTCAGGGTACAACAAAAGCTAAGTCGATGCAACGCAAGGCAACAAGCCTGACCACCTGATCCCATGAAGTCGCCTCTTACAGCAAGCAATAGAGTGGGGGCCTATTGTGACCCCGGTCCCTGTGGGGGCGGGGCAAGTGTCCTACTTGTAACATCCTCCGTGGCCACGTGGTTCAGGAGGTCCACCAGCCGAGACTGCATCTGTCTGTTGGTACGGTGCAGCTCCTGGAACACACAGACATCAACTCAGGGCTCCTTTCAAAATGTCATCCTAGTGCTGACTGGTGACCCCAATTGTACAGCTATCTGATTGGCCAGCCTTGTAAAACCCCATGCAGGTGGTTTGTCAGCATGGACATCATGGCATCCTAGTGTCTGATGCAATGTCATTTACTTGACAAGTCACAGCTGATCCTGTACACACTTTGAGCTACCATACTGAGAATTTGATGGCGGGCACACAATCTAATGTTATATGTAACTCGTATACTCTTTCAGAGACGTATGACAGTCAATGCTAATACAGTTTGGTGGAACAAAACCCAATGTCATCTCTTGGCCAAGGTACGAAAGTCTACCATGGAGCTGCTGTACAAGATACTATCACCCTGAGGTTTAGAAAAATAAAAGAATTGGTTCTCAGGCAATCACTTTTGAAAATATAGTGCAAGTGGGCGGTGTTTTGTTTGTTGTTGTTTTCAAACTAATATGTAACCAAATATAAAGTTGTGCACCGTCAACCTGGGAATCAGGTCCCCCTTCATAAACAAGCATACAAACTCCTATTGCCACCATGACCATAATATGAGAAGTGCAGAAAAGCAGTGCACATGTAAAGGGAAGTAAATGCATGGTATATCGGATAGCACATTTTTTAGTATTAGTATTTAAATTTTCAATTCAAAATGGAAATTAAAACAAAACGTGCGGCAGCCTTTATGATGATGTTGGAGGTGCCTGAGAACCAAGACTTAACTTTTTTTAGCCTAATAGTCTTGCCACTGATGACCCAGCTGATATTAAAATCAGGAACTGACCAATTAATATTGGTTGGTGGGGATGGGCTTTTTGTCGGTAGCCTTATGTTATGCTATAGACAATTAGAATTAGAATCTTTTAATATTTGAAGTGGGTTAAATATGATCAACTACCGTATTCAACGTAATAAGCGCCCAGGGTGCTCTCATAATTAGAAATAGGGGGCTCTTATTAGAATATTATTTTGGTGGAAAAAACAGAGTTGAAAGTTAAATTTCGTGGTTTATGCCGACGGCCTGAACGACAGACATATTTTTCCAGAATTTGATTGCCCATAATTAAGGGTGCATATAAGACAGGCGTGTGTATTATACACAAATAGATAAGTCTTGTGTACATTGATCAATCGGAAGGGGTGCTAATTGGGATTGCTCACTTGCCAATATATTAGCAAATATCGCCGTGGGTGCTTATTAGAGCGGGGCGCTTATTACGTCAAATTCGGTATGTCCAGAAGTCCTGGACAAGTTGATCGTGGCACTGGGGTTGGGACATTTTCTGAGAACGTGAGAGTATTTCCACCCCCTGACAAGAGAAACTCTAAAAGGAGAGTTTCAAAACATAAACACAACACAACACAACCTGTCTCAATCGTAACAGTACTCAATTACCCACAACCCACCTGCAGAAGTTCAAGGTCAGATGGGTCACAGCTGGTGGGTGTCAGTTCCGTCAGCATCTCCGACATGACCCGGATGTTGCCCGATACCACCTCCAGCTCGCGGCGAAGCTTGCCTTGCTGCTCCTGGTTTGGCTGGATGGGTGTGGGTGCCCCGCCTACAAACTGGGGTCCAGGGACAGACTGCTGCAGCTGTGGTGGAGGGGGCTGCTGCGGTTGCTGGGGGCTCCGCACCGACGTCTACAGAGACATAAACGCTTTGTGAGTCTTACCATGTCACAGAGACACAGACACTGGAATTTATACACATTTCAATGCACTGAACCTTCTTGTCCCTTTCATCATGTTCATCAACAGTTTCGAAGCTACTTTTTGATACTTCATCAGTTGCTTCAACTGATGCTTCAACTGATGAAGGGGCAAAAAGTAGCCTTGAATCATTGAGATCTATATACCAATATTATCAGCAGAGAATGTTTCTGAATAAAAATATCATACACTAGTAATAAAAATTGTATTATGCAAGCTTATGTGAGCATAATCAATGATAACTCATATCTTTAATTCCTATATGATATTTACAATACTGGAAGAAACAAGGGGTAACAATCTCTTTCATGACATCAATCTTAAAATAATTTTGGACCGAATTTCACTCACTGAAGTAACATAAGAATCTATAAATAGATAGTCAACGTTCCTGCCAATGACAGTGCCCAATGTTTTGCAGCCATGTATGTTCACAAAAACATCAACATCAGGAATCCCTATCAAAATTTACTGAGAATGTTGGACAATGATTTATTAAACAAGTATGCCTTATGCCATCAATGTATGGAGCTTATCAATAGCCATACCTACCAGATTACATCATTTGCATATTTATCAAATTGTGATACCAAGTATATTATATTGGATTATTCCAACAATCACACTTTCTATTATAAGATAAACCTTTTGTTTTAATAAGCCACCAACTTCTAAATGTCTATGAAAGACGACATGATTCTGGCTGGCGATGGTAGCAATACTGATTGTAGGTAGCAGCTGGATCCGGCAATCAGATTACACATTCAAACACATCTGTCATTCATACAGAAAAGTCATGCATGGAAAATAGATATTTTTACACAATTTACAATACACTATCAGCAACATGCTTAAATATTAATGAAAAGTTAATTATTCATTGCATTCTTTGAGTTTATTATTACGTACTCTGTGGAACAAACATTCCATGAAATACAAGGCAAAAGCTCAAACTGCAAAGTCAGAAGAGGCAGAATTTCTTTAGAAGATTACTTAGCAATGACATCCTGTTTGTAACTATTTTTATCACGTCAACATTGTTCCTTAATAAAATAGAGACATTAAAATATTACAATCACATTTTCGTGAAACAAATCAATAGTTTTCCCGTAACTGAAGCAGGTAGTGACAGTAAAACTTCCTTGAAACAATTATATTACTTATTTCCTAGAAAGGCAATTATGTGACAGTACACACTACCATTATTACACAACTTTCTACAAATATCCTCAATCCAAATTGTTTCAAAACCCATCTAAAAAAACCTGCCTTAAATCCCCTGCAAAAAACACTGCCAGGACCGTTCAGAAACAAAACAGGCATGAAAACAGGCAAAAATACACAGGGATGGAAATTAACCCAGAATGTCAACTAGCCCAAATATAGTTTTATGTACATGCAGCAATACCCCCAAATGTTTAAAATTCTACTAGTCCTTAGAATACCTTTAACATTAACCAACTGGTCTAGGCTAGAGGGCTAGTGCTAATTTCCCTCCCTGATACAGGTAACATCCTTCCCAGACTTGGCCTGGCATCAGCATGCATGTCATACACTTCCCTGACATCAGGGTCCACGGCCACCCACACAGTGTTCCCGCTGGCTATTGAAACTGCCAGGCATGGTGGACTGGCAACTCTAAAAACTACCAGTTCCCCCTAATTTTTGTCGGTCTGAAAATTTCCTGGTTTGAATTCTTACAACATCATCACAAAGTAAATTAGTGAGAAATAGACATGATTCACACAAGTTCAGTCACAATTTCTCTTCTTCTTTTTTTAAAATATTTCGAGACTAAGTAATACATAAATAATCTCGAAGCAAAGCGAAATATTATTCCCTTGCACTAAAAATAGACAAGGGGAAACCCTGATGGTAACAGACATTCTGACTTCATTCGAAACATATACTTACATGAAAATCACAGATTTTTTGTTTATACAACAAAGATTTATAAGGTACTTTATTTGCCGGTCCATGAATTGAAATGAATTCCTGGTCCAAGCCTAATTTTACTGGTGAAAGACTGGGAATTACCGGTAAACGGGAACACTGCCTGACTACACACAACACCTACATGGGATGAGGAAATCGGGGCAGTTCCCAACGGGGAACACAAAAAACATCACTTCATGCATTTCCTCATTCCAATGTCAAATAAAGGCAACAACAAACTGTTTATTCATTCTTCTGACTTTGTTTTCCAAGTGTTTGTTTCATGTTTGGGTAAGCCAGCCCTGTACTACATGACAGTGGTGCTGTCATTGAAGCTCGATGGAGATCTAGCAAAACGGTCACTTTGATGTGTAAAGAAATATTGCCATACGCTTCACTGTTGCAGTTGTAGTAGCATATCTATAAAATTATGCAAAACAATATGTAAAGCCAACGGAAAGGCTTGCATTAGGGCAGTCTACTCAGATTTCAGATGAAGTGTGTTTGTTTACAAACAAGTGAAAAGTTTGGTTACATGGAGTGCAAACTAGCCTTTGGCAGCGGTACTAAGTCGTCACTGTGCCAGAGTGTCAGGACATCCTTCAAAGGAACACGTGAATTACAATTTTTGGTGAGCTGGTAATCTACTCAAAGTGAAAAGTTCTGCTATTACTATATATAACGAGCACTTATTACCATATACTACTGGCTAGTTTTGATGAATCGAACAGTTTGATGAGTTACCATGGTTACTATCTTAAATCAACCAATCAATGATTGCGACATGAAGGCATCTCATGGCCTTGTTATTTTGATCACAAAACACATGTATTTATATACAATTGTCCAAAAACAACAACTATGACTTACACAAGTCAAAGTAGGGCCTCTTTGATACATGTACACATTCCCAGACTACTAAGGCATCAACAGAGGTAATCTGACTATGGATGCTGTAAATAACGGAGAGTTGGTGCTCACTGCTGAAAAGCTCACACACAATTATGCCAAAATTAATGTAAACACTACTGAACCAAATTTGAATAAAATTAATAAAATAGACTAAAAAAGCATGAAATACAATAAATACTTTTTATAACCACAAAGTCTAACAACAGGACTAACTGGTGTAGCTCAGTACAGATTTGTACAGAATGTCTGTTCTATTTTTCCTTTCTGTTTTCCTTCGGGGTTTTTTAAGGGTGAGGGGGGGAATCAAAAACTGACTGTATAATGTTCACTCCCTCTACAAAGTTTAAGTTCTGTAGGTAAAGTGTGCATTATACACAAGAAAAAAGGTACTAGATCTACTCACAGTGAAATGTTAGTTCCTGACTAATAAGCCCACAGGATAAGCAACGCATGCATAACGACCATCAAGCCACAAAGACTGACAAAAGGCAAACATAGTAGGTCAGTCAAATAATGTTTAGTGTAAAGTGATTGGCATAAACAGTCCCTCGGTATACTAACGGATCGGGCCGAGCTACCCCGGTGTCTGTTGAGAGCTGTCTGTTCTGTTTCGGGGACGCTCTGTGTGGACAATGAAGCAAACACATTAAGCAGCAGGACAACAATGTACAACATGGTGTCCACAGCCTCAACACCACCAGCAGCAGCAACATGTCCCCTTCCCCATCTCCAAGCATGCTGTAAGCACTGTTAAACCATCATGATGTCTCACTACAGTCGTCGCAGTTGATTCTGAACCAGGCATTCAAAGACCATTCTCAACAAGTAATCTAACGCGACTATGGGTCATTATGCAAAATCGTAAAGAAATCGCATACAAATGGTAAAAAGAAACTGTGCTTCATATAAAGTTCAATAAAAAAAATTATTCTGAAATTAAATAATGCATCTTTTCAATACATATTCATTAAGACATCTTGACTTTAAGGTCGTGATTAACAATTTGTATGTGTATGTTAATGCATGGCGCACAATTCTGATGTTTGCAAACGTTTGCATGTTTAATGGGAGCATGATGTTCATCCAGATGGTTCTTGAATGTGTACACCACACAATGATTGTTTAGCTATCAGGTGCACAAAAAAAATACTTTTGTTTAACCCTAAGCAATGCCACAGTTTGCTGAAAATCAACATCTACACGCCATTGGTATGTTAGAAAAAGGAATGGACAAAACAAAGTTGCCAGACGTTTTAATGGTTGTCAAAGTCATTATCTACAGCATGGCAACACTCATGACTTGCCACGGGCCGGTCGTCCACATGTGATGTCAAGTCAACAAGACTACCATACTCAATATGGCGTCCAGGGGAAAGTTTTAGTTTTACTCAATGTCGTCAGGTTGGGGGTGGATGTGTAATGGTATGGGGTGGCATCATGGGAGAACACAACTCATCACTGTTAATGGCAATTTTAATGGCATACAGTACCGAGATGACATCTATAGAGATCCTGTTCTACCCTCTGTGCAAATGCAGGGACGTAACATCCCAGAGCAGCAGAATGATGCCCGCCCACATGCTGCACACGTTGTAACAGACTTTTTCAGGCAGCATGACATTGCTGTACTGCCATGGTCGTCTGTTTCTCCAAATCTTTCCCTTATAGAATATGTCTGAAGAGATGAGATCAATCGACCAGAACACTAGCTCAGTAGGCACAATCTTTGGTTGACATTTGGAACAACCAGCCCAGGCTGTTTTCAATCATCTGGTGTCTTCAATGCACTGCCGCTGCCTCGCCTGTATCAACCCAAATGGAGGTCACACCCGATATTGTTAATTGAGTTAATTGAGTTGTTACATCAGCCCTTTTTTAGGGTGTGTCGCTCTGTCTCCTGTTACCAGGTAGGGCTTTTGTTAATGAATTTGTTATGATATAACATTGTTCAGCTGAATGACCAAATATGATGCTGTTATTTTCAAAAACATTACATTTACACCACTTTATATGAAGCACAGTAACTTTTTTCTGCAAGTATATATATCAACCATAACACGGTATGAGTCGGAGAAGTCACTCAGAAATCTGGAAGTCGAATCAACAGATTGTCACAATTCCTCCATCATGGATAAGCATCAACTGAAGTAGTCTAAAATAAAACTCTAGTTATCTAGATCATATAGACTGTTGTAAATTTTGAGTTCAGCAAGTCATACATCAGGGTATGAAATCAACATAGGCTCACCTATCGGAAACTGCTTAAATTCAGGAGGGACAAGTAACAATTCCTTGTCGACTACCATTTCAACCACTAGCACATCATCCTTGCTGACAAGTGAAAATACACTGTTCTAATAGCTGTTCACAAATTCACAGAATCAATCAGCCGAGAATGTATTTTTTATAATATGACTGTGCAGATATACATCTATTTGTGAGATAAGCAAATTGGTTACCATGGTTACCCCTACCACAACATCCTGAAACATGAAATAACATCCATAGAAAGAAATATTCCCATATTTTGGATTTTGCTTCCCCCTACACATTCCTGTCCTACCCTAGATGTCCTGTGTGTTACTCCTATGTTTGCAAACAGCCTACCCGTGCTGGTGTGTATATGGGCGCCATGTGGTCGAGGTCTGTCATGGGGAACTCGATGCCCTTGGACTTGAGCTCACTGTACACCTTCTCCACCTCCTTCAGGTCTGGCGCTCCCCGGAACGCATCCGCCCACGTCTGCAACACACACACGCACAACATCAGCAGAAGAAACTAACATTTTTAGTCCACTAGTCCTTATACAATAAAATACTTTTATAATGAACATGCTTATAACAAACTGACGGATATTACGAACTTAATTTTTGGTCCCCGCTATTTGCTGTATAGATGTATGCTTATAACGAACTACGATTATAACAAACTTAAATTAATGGTCCATTTGAGTTCGCTATAACCATAATTTACTGTAATTATAACATATGGCAAAACCCTTAAAAATGGCAAATTACTACTAGTCCTCATGATACCTTTACTATTGGACAGTTTGGCAAGGACGACAGGACTAGTGCCAATTTCTAACACTGAATATCTGTACATTCACTGAATATCATATATGAATGCTTATATGGCAGAAAATGATTCTGAAATTTCATACTTAGAAACATTCTGCAATAATGCTATGATCTTAACTTTGAAATTCATGTACATCAACTTCTTACAAAAAGTCACATATACTGGCATACATACGATACACTTAGGACTAGTCTATCAATGGCAATATCTTTCCAGATTCTTCAAATGCCCAACACACCACCGACACCACCAGGGAGGGGGCATGGCTAGCTGCTGTGCAGAGTTGAGCCCCTTTGCCTTGCCAGGACATGCTGATTCCTATTACCACCCTGATACAAGTGTCTTTCCTCCAGCTTTAGTGCTGCACACTCACCTGTATGAGACTCAGCACCTTCTCTTGCACTGCCTGTGGGGGGTCATTTTTAGGACCAATTATTTTGATGAGTTCATGGAGAAAGTCTTTGTTGGCCACCTGCAGATGGAAGCGCTTGCCACAGTTCTTCACACAGGTCTCCAGTTGCTGGCGAAATAGAAGAGTGAGGGAGTACAGTTTCATTCAGATCTTTGCAAAATATCACGGTGGGAGACACCAGAAAGGCTTCAAACATTGGGTCCATGTGGGGAATCAAACCCTGACCTTCGGTGTGACAAGCGTTTCGCTAGCTCGCTAGTCACTTAGCGCTTAACTGATTCCTGGCCTTCATTACCGCACTGAGACTCGTTAAGGGCTCAGTCACACATTCAAATTTTTACTGCCATCCTTGATAGGACCATTCCCGATTAAAATTTGTCAAAAGTCTGATCAAGATCCTGTGATTCATGGCGAGAAATTCACAAATTTGTAAAAACGTTTATTTCATCATGACAACAATCAGATATTGTTCAGCGTCCGACAGCGTCACGATTCTCCCAAATGCGATCCTACAGAGATCAGACAGTGACCGGACAGTCAAGATCTGGACGCAGTCTGGACTCAATCGACAAGAAACGGCAATGAAGAATTTCTCCAAATCATGCCTGTTCACCGTCCAGACAACACAGGACATTGTTACAATTTTGATTTGATACAGCGGAATCTGTCACAACATAGTCACGATTGTAATCTAGCTGCACTAGACAAAATCGTCTGAGTTTCCCGAATGTCGGGAGTGCTTGGCCGACCTCTCTGGACCTTTCCCAATCCGTATACGCCAAAATACTTTCAAAATACTTGCCTGTCTCAGGACACAAAGCATCAAAGACTCTTAAGTATATTTCTGCTCTAACAAGTATTTTGTGAAGTAAGAACACAGACAAGATGACAAAGTCATCGAAATGCCTCACCCTTTTAAACATGTTTGTTTGTTAATTAACAAATCACTAAGCAATACTCCAGCTATATAACCTATGGCAGGGTGCAAGTAGTCAACCAGCTAATCCAGTGATGTCCCACACTGTCAGTGTACAATGTCACACAATGAACCAAGTCACCGAGCCTGACCACCAAATCCATCTACCAGTAGTTGCCTAATACAAGCATAATTCCTGGGTATCTCCACAGGGTTGTACAATCATGATGGTGTCTGATATGAAAAACATACAAAGTTCCATCAAGAGATCTAAACGGTTTATAAGTTATACCCTGAAAACGAACCCTTCACTCACACGAGCTTAAGTTCATCTTGATGCCTTGGAATCACAAAACAAAAAAACAAAACAAAAATGTATACGAAGATTTACTAAGAAATATTGTACAGGTTTATGAGTTATGTTCCGGAAACAAAAGGCAACGGAGCCTGTTTTTATTTCAACAACACAACATTGTTTTGAGTTGTATATACTGTTGAATTACTAAAAAGATTTTTTTTTTATAATTATTATTTTTTTATTTTCAGCATAGTCAAGTTAATTACAGCCTCGTAAGCCTTTCCTGCATGAAAAAATTAAAGCTATGACTGTGGCTATGATTCACAGATAGATGTGGACCCCTGGGCTCAGGTCACTGACGTCAACTCCTGGTCAGCGGGTGCAATCAGGTATTTAACCCCTGTATTGAACCATATACATGATTAAGACCACCAATAAACACTTTAATGTCCTTAATCAGAAACACATAAACACATGTGGCCTCTTTACATCTGAAATACTGCTGTCACTGTTCGAGGTTGGAAAGATCAAAAAGAAACTATCAGTTTTCGAAAGTTTGTAAACAGCAGCACTTAGATACCCTGGATATGATGAAATGACCATCTATCAGCTCAACTCACCGTGAGTGTGTACATAACGGCGGTGTAGTTTTTTCCCACATTCTGCGACAGCCTCTTTCTGATAGCCTTGATGGCGTCTTTGGGGCTGTAAACATGGTAAAACAGAAGTGGCATTGCCTTACAACTTGACAAAATATCACCACCACGTCAAATTGCTGTGATTTGTTAGCCATACAGTACTTAGTATTTGAGAGTATGAGTTCACTAACTTACTATTTTTATCTTCCAGTTCATGTACGATCAACATTCGAACACAAAGAAAAGAAAGCAAGTTCTGTTCAACACATTTATTAAACAATTAACATCAATTCAAAATGAATTTGTAAAACAATAAAGCAATAAATAATATCCAATCTCAATGTTCGTTAGAATCTAGCCTATATCTTTCTGACCTACAATATCCCATCTTCGATATATGAGAGTTAAAAAAAACAATTCAAAGTTGTGATTTACCTGCAAAAAAAAAGAAATATCAACTTATGAAATATAAGTGCTGTATTGGGATAGGTATCATATCACACTCATAGTATCGGGATACATATCGTATCGCGACCCTAATGTATTGTTGAACCTCTATGATCAAGTCATACCTACCCTTCGTCTGTCTCATTGATGATGTCACACACTTCCATAAACAGACCCCAGTTCTCTGAAGCCTGGGACCCATCTGTGGCTCTCTCTGCAACAAGAACACACACACTGATACACACTGATACACACTGATACACACTGATACACTCGGGACTGCAAAATCAGTAAGTTGGGTGAACTGGCGTTTTAATGCCACATTTAACTGAATTCCAGTTACATCATGGCACGTCAGCTTAATACAGAAGGAAAGCTAGCTGGGTATGGTGCTAACAAACCTAGAAACATAATCGGAGCGAACCAGGATTCAAACCCACAATAACTGGTTTGTGGCGTGCGCAAGGGAATTGTGACACCTTTGACGACTGGGCCACCCATACACCCAGACTGCTAAATGAAAACACAGGGGGCCCAGTGGTGGAGGGCACTCTAAGCATGAGCAGAGTTGTGTGTCCTGGCTGTGAGGATCTGACAGGTTATGGGATCAACTCCTGGTTTACCCGTGTATACCTAATTTCAGCATCATTGATCATCATTTCCATGCTTTTCTTTTTGGTCTAAGTTGTTTTTCGCGCATTAAAGTTGTATTGCCATTATGACTTGACCTACCTACATCACCTCGTAGAATACTGGTAAAAGTGGTTAAACTCTCTTGACAGACCCCATCAGGTGATATTAACCATATCATGCACTATTTGGTTCTCTTGACAGATCTTCAGCAACCCATGCTTTTCGTAAAAGGCGACTATGATTGTCATATGAGGCGACTAACGGGATCGGGTGGTCAGACTCGCTGACTTGGTTGATGCACGTCACCGATCCCAATTGCATGGATCGATGCTCGTGATATCCATCACTGGATTGTCTGGTCTAGATTCAATTATTTACAGACCGCCGTCATAAGCTGGAATATTGCTGAGTGTGGCGTTAAACAACAAACGAACCAACCATACCTTGTGTTATATTGACTTTATCATGCACTATCAGGTTATCTTAATAGGCCTTATCAAGTGATTTGGACCATATCATCATGATCATGCACTATTTGGTTCTATTGACATCCATCATGTGATATTGATCATATCATGCTCTATTTGGTTCTATTGGCAGATCCCATCATGTAGAACCACACCATGCACTGTTTGGTTCTCTTGACATCCATCATGTGATATTGATCAAATCATGCACTAATTGGTTCTATTGACATCCACCATGTGATATTGACCATATCATGCACTATTTGGTTCTATTGACATCCACCATGTGATATTGATCAAATCATGCACTATTTGGTTCTATTGACATCCACCATGTGATATTGACCACATCATGCACTATTTGGTTTTCTTTGCATCCATCATGTGATATTGACCATATCATGCACTATTTTATTTGGTTCTCTTGACATCCATCATGTGATATTGACCATATCATGCACTATTTGTTTTTTTTGACAAGATTCCACAAGGCGATATTGACCATATCATGCACTAATGGGTTCTCTTGACACATCCCTCGTGTAACATTGACCATATCATGCACTATCAGGTTCTCTTAACACACCCCTCATGTAATATTGACCGTATCATGCACTACAGTCCATATTGATCACATGTTGATCATGTGGCTATGGTAACGCATGTGAGACTGACATTCCTTGCATTGATGTCACTATTGACTCTCTACCATGTCTCTCTACCATGTCTACTACCATGATTCACAACACACAAATGAGGCCTCCAGTAGTCTAGCCTGTAGCCCCTGGACTAGTCTGTCTCACAGTCCCTGAACCATATGACCGTATTCGACGTAATAAGCGCTCTGCTCTAATAAGCGCCCACGGCGATATTTGTTAATATATTGGCTAGTGAACAATCTCAATTACCGTATTCGACATAATAAGCGCCCAGGGCGCTTTCAAAATTAGAAATAGGGGGCTCTTATTAGAATATTATTTTGGTGAAAAACAACAGAGTTGAAAGATCGTAAATTTTGTGGTTTATGTTGATAGCCTGAAATGTTTATATATACGACAGATATATTTTTTCCAGAATTTAATGTCCCATAATTAAGGGTGCATATAACACACATATTACAATGATCAATGTGATACACTGATCAATCGAAAGGGGTGCTAATTGGGATTGTTCACTAGCCAATTGTTTAGCAAATATCGCCGTGGGCGCTTATTAGAGCAGGGCGCTAATTACTTCGAATACGGTAGCACCCCTTCCAATTGATTAATGTACACAAGATTTATTTATTCGTGTATAATACGCACTCGTATGTTATATGCACCCTTAATAATGGGAAATTAAATTCTGGAAAAATATATCTGTCGTATATAAACATTTCAGGCTGTCAGCATAAACCACGAAATTTACGATCTTTCAACTCAAAATAATATTCTAGCAAGAGCCCCCTATTTCTTATTTTGAGAGCGCCCTGGGCGCTTATTACTTCGAATACGGTACTTTCCTCTATGCCCAGCCCTTACCATTTCTTACTTTATTGCCAAAAGAAGCAAGTCTAGATGTTTCACAGGTTCAGGTTCTGAATCTCCCATCTACTTTGGGGCTCCTTTTCAATTTAAATGAAGTTTCTTGGTTTCTATCAAAATTATATATATTTGAAAGAGACGAAGTTGTTAGTCTACTCCTAGGAAATCGCAAAGTATACCTAGACTCTTATCCCGAGATCTACATTGTACATGTGATACATGTGCTGTATTCTCATCATGGAGTAATGAAGAAATGTCAATCAACATGATCACTGTAGTCTGTAATTAGCTCCTTTGAACATTAACCAAGTCAGAGTGGGTTCGTATTGGGTAAATCTACAACTGTGGGCCTCATCAAACATTAGGATATTGTGATACACTATGACATGCATGAGTGAGTGAGTGAGTGAGTGAGTGAGTGAGTGAGTGAGTGAGTGAGTGAGTGAGTGAGTGAGTGAGTGAGTGAGTGAGTGAGTATGTTTTACGCCACTTTTAGCAATATTCCAGCAATATCATGGCGGGGAAAACCAGAAATGGGCTTCACACGTTGTACCCATGTCGGGAATCGAACCCGGGTCTTCAGCGTGACGAGCAAACGCTTTAACCACTAGGCTACCAGACCGTCCCCATGCATAAGGAGAGTTGATCACTTAATCCTTATAGTTTCATGTGTATTGGTGAGTGGGTTTTGTTTCATATTGTCTTGAACATTATTTCATTTACACGAATATCACGGCATGTCAGCTTGCCCGAAATGTTGTCATAGCAACACATTAGACGATGTGCCACCAGTGCCCCTTTTTCATAACTGCAATACTGATTCCCAGCATCCAGAAAGATCAAATTTTAGTTCCTATAATATTTATGACAACAATACTTGTACAACAATGAACTGGCATGTATATTTCATATTCCCTTGTCATGACACTCAACTCAAAATGATGCTTCTCCAATGAGGTTGTACAAAAGAAATATTCAGTTTACTTCACACTTTTGTTTGTCAGCAATATGACGACGGTCCGTAAATAATCAAGTCTGAACCAGACAATATCACGACATCATGAGCATCAATCCACGCAATTGGGATATGATGACATGCATCAACCAAGTCTGCAAGCCTGATCACCCAATCCTGTTAGTTACCTCTTACGACAAGCACAGTTGCCTTTTACGTCAAGCATGGGCAGCTGAAGACCTATTCTACCCCAGGGCCCCGTTCCACAAAGCGATCGTAGCGCTATGCCTGTCGTAAGCCTATGATAAAGAATGGGAGTTACGATCATCTTAGCGCTAAGATTGCTTTGTGGAACGGGGCCCAAATCTTCACAAGTCTTCTTCACACTTGAGAGGGTTAATGCATTAAGTGCTTCAAGTATAGAAAAAGTGAAGTTTTCCATGGTGTGCCTTGCAGGATTGCGTAACGCCACCTTATGTGGGATCCGGAATGCTTGTGATGATACTGGGTGGCTGATGTAGACAGGCAGATGTTTTACCACCATTGTGTCATAATAAAGGATGTCCCTAACAGTGTGTGTGTCAGGGTTCTGCTAGACTGAACAAGTCCTCAGGGCTAGGTGTGTACCACATGATCACTACTGGTGCTGGTGGGCATGGACATGTGAACATCCGGGGTAGAATAGGTCTTCAGCAACCCATGCTTGCCGTAAAAGGTGACTATGCTTGTCGTAAAAGGTGACTAACGGGATCGGGTGGTCAGGCTCGCTGACTTGGTTGATGCATGTCATCGACCCCAAGTAGGTGGATCGATGCTCATGATATTAATCACTGGATTGTCAGGTCCAGACTCGATTATTTACAGACCGCCGTCATATAGCTGGAATATTACTGAGTGTGGCGTTAAACAAGAAACCAACCAAAACCAAGCCAGTGGACATGACAGGTTACTTTCTGTCCTTCAACAACTGTATTGTTGGTTGGCACCGTGATAAAGGAATGTAAAATTATGACATTTAAATCATGAATTCAATATAATGATCGAATACTTAACAAATGAAAAATCAATTGTCACATACCCCCTTTATGTGAATCTTTTTTAAAAAAAGCTCTACCCTGATGCTGATTTTAATCATAACATGTTTCAATTATCCACATCCTGATAAGAACTGCCATTCAGAGCACTACAGGACATTATAGACACACAGCATCACACACTGATAACCTCCAACATATTGAACCCACAATATATCCTGGTATGTACATACACTACAATAGGCATGATAGGGGAACCACCATTGGCTGCAGTTGGCCATGTCTCTATACAACACAACCCTTTGGCTTCCTGGGACCGTCACACAATCATGATGTAACAGACACAATACAGGATATTAACATCCACGGTATTGATTAACCGTGGATATTAGAACAGACTGCCTGTTATGATCACTATGCACATAATTAGCCAGTAAATGATCATCGTATAGAGCATGTATAATGTCATACTTGATTTCTTGATAATTCGTATGTGCGTTGTCTCAAGCCACTGTCAGCAATACTCCAGTATACCACAGTGGCGTGTAAATATCAGTCAGGGCTTGCAAAGTAGTGGATAATAGCATGATTAACGCGCCTGT